AGGTGGGAGGATGGATGGGATAGATGGATGAGCAGGTGGGAGGATGGATGGATCTGGGTGGGTGGGTGGATGGATGGATGTATATGGGTGGGAGGTTGGATAGATGGATGAGCAGGTAGGAGGATGGATGGGAGTGTGGGCAGATGCACAGGTGTGTAAGTGGCAGGTTGGGTGGAGGGGAGTAGGAGGCTGACAGAGAGGGAAGATGACTAAATAGTGGTGCTGATAGCTAGTCCCAGAGGTCCTTAGCAGAGCTGGGAGAAGAAAGGCAGCTAGTGGCGTCCATGTCCTGCTCAAGTGTCCTGTGGAGCCTGGACAGACCGGAGATGGTGCTGAGGCTGAGCTCCTCTAGGAACAAAGCCCCTCCCACTGCCCTAAGTCTGCAAGACTCAACCTTCTAGTAGACACTCCAGGTGTGCAAGGCTTCTTCTCCCACCAGCCCACCTGTGTCACCTCCCTAGTCACTGTGTGTGATCCCTGAGGGCAGGAGGGCTGATAGACAGGGTGGGCCTGCCCCTCACTCCACCCACTCCCAGCCAGTGGTTTTCAGGAAGCGGAGCCCAGATGCTTTGAGGGCAGCAGCTCAGGAAACTGGCTTTGAGTCTGTCCAATTGACTGCAGGCTGTGGCCTGGGTGGGGACTCCTGACCCCCTACGTGCCATTTTCCATCTGTGAAATGGCCAAGGGTACCTGTCATCACCCCATGGCATGATGGTTCTTAGGAAGGCGGGACTTCGGGACCCTCACTCTAAGCCCATCCACCTGACCTGAATCTCATCAGGAGAGATCTGTGAGTCTGAGGCCCCACCCAGGAAGGCATAGAGCTGCAAGAGAAAGTGGGTCTTTGTCCAGGGCTGACAGGGAGCCAGGGACCCATCCCAGAGGTGGGAGGTGGCAGGCAGTGGCCTGGCCTAGAGGACTTGGTCAGTCAGCCTTCCTTCCAGGGAAGAAAGGGAACTTGGGGTCCCCATCCTGCCAGCATCCCTCAAAACCAGGCCCATCCGCACAGCCAACCTGCTCTCAGAACTGTGGCCTCTTGTGTACAACGCAATGGAAAAGGCTGGAGACTAAAATGTGGGTCACTGTTTCCCGGACCTGCTGGGACAGCTGGGAGAGGATAAGGCAGAGTGGGGGCGGAAAGCTGGTCTGGGGGAGGAGGAAGCACAGGTCTGCCCATCCGTGAGTGGGGCTAACAGGGTGCAAGCAGGGGGACAGGGATGTACCAGGCAGGCAGCAACTCTGGGTGGGGCAAGAGGTGCCGGATGATGATGAAGTCAGAGAGGAGCCCTGGTGGCACACTGCCTAAGCACTTAGCTGCCAACTGATAAATGGATGGTTCTAATCCATCAGCCGCTCCACAGGAGAAAGATGTGACCGTCTGCTTTTCTAACGCGGACAGCCTTGGAAATCCTGAGGGGCAGCTCTGCTCTGTCCTCTAGGGTCACGATGAACCCCACAGCGCGGGTGTTCGGGTGAAATCAGACACCCTTTGCTTTAAGCTCATCCTCGCCTTCCTTCTTAGTTAAGACACCGGCTCCGTGGTAGAACTCTCGTCTGCCACGGGGGAGACCTGGGTTCAATTCCCGGCCAGCGCCCCTTGTGTACAGCTACCACCCTCTGTCAGTGAAGGCGTGCCTGCTGCTAGGATGCTGAGCAGGTTTTCAGTAGAACTTCCAGACTGAGATAGACTAGGAAGAAACATCTGGTGATCTACTTCTGAAAATCAGCGGACGAACCCCTGTGGACCACAGTGTTGCAACCTGAATGGAATCATGGGGATGGCGGTGTTTCATGGGGCCGTGAGTGGAGGACCCGACTCAATGGCACCTGTAACAAGAAGGCATTTTGGTGGCAGCAGAACCCGGTAGAGGGCTTCAGGACCCTCAGGCAGGAGAGAAAGCTCCCAGCTTGGGGCTATCCAGTCACCCCTGTAGCTTGTCTCCTGGGCACCTCCCTCTGCCTGTATCAGGACTGTCTGACTCCCAGTCTGACGGGGGGTGGGGGTGAAATCTGGGTTCCCCTGCCATGCTGTGAAGGGGCCTGGCTTCTGCCCGGGCTCCAGACCACCCCTGTTCACCCACCAGCTCCTGGTCCCACAGCTGAGCCGTCAGAGTATAGATGGACTCCCCTGACCCCCAGACCAGCGTTTCTCCCCTTCCCCGGCAGTGGGGAGAGTCATCCAGAACTTGGATGGATGGGGAGACTCTCAAAGGGACCAAAGTGGGTGTGACCTGCGTATGTTCTGCTTCCCCCCAGAAGCCCCCTGCGGCCCACACCATGAAGGAGGAAGCCTTTCTCAGACGTCGATTCTCTCTCTGCCCACCCTCGTCCACCCCTCAGAAAGTCGACCCCCGCAAACTCACCCGGAACCTGCTCCTCAGCCCAGAGAATGAGCCCTACCCGCTCAGTCCAGGTTGGTGCCCGCTGCATCGGGGAGGGGTGGGCAGCTGCTTGGCTGGGAGACCCCCACCTGCCATGTTGTGTGACCCCACTGCTAACCGAGGAGGTGACACAGGGCTGTTCAGTTGTAGTGAGCAAAGGGGTTTGTATCTGACTGAAGTACCAGGTCAAGTGGGCCTCTTGGCAAACCGTGGGGTCCTTCAGAAAGCCTCTATTGGCTACCTCGGTAGGTCCAGGACAGGGCTTTGCTCAGGAAGCCATGCAGGGCTCTGGAGACAGGCCGATCGGAGTTCCAGCCCAGCTCTGTGGCTTCCTGGCAGGGCAGACAGCAGCTACACCTCTGTGGACCTCAATTTCCGAATCTGTAGAATGGGATGACTTTAGTGATGAGTTTGGCAATAGAGGGGGCCCGAGCTCTGGGAGGGAGCAGTTCCAGTGGCACACGGCATTGCGGGGCCTCTGTTGGGGACCACTATCTCAGGCCACAGCCAAGTGGGAGCAGAGCCTGGGGGTGGGAGGGCAGGGCAGAGCCCCTTCTCAGGAGGAGGCTGGGCCAAGCACTTGAGAACCGTAGAATACAAAGGTCTGTAAACCCAGGGGTCCCTGGCTGGTGCACACAGTGAGAATACTCAGTTGCTCACCAAAAGGCCACAGGTTTGAATCCACTCAGAGATGCCTTGTAATAAAGAATCTACTTCTGTAAGATCTGCCATGGAAAATCCTAGGGAGCTCAGCTTTACTTGGACACACATAGGCGTGCACGCCACGTCTTCTTGAAGTCCAGACAGGGACATGGAGGGTCTGAGGGGTTGGTCCAGTCACAGCAGGGAGACCAGCAGGGATGTCTTTCCATCCTGAGAAGTTGCCATGTCAGGGTCTTTTCCAGCCCAGGTAACCCTGGGTCCCGAGGGCAGAGACCCTTCTGGGTCCACTGAGCTGTCTTCCCCAGAGAGATACACTTTGGCACCCCACTGCCACCCACTCCTTCCTGGGACACCTGGAGTCACTCAGCAGAGCCCCAGCCTTCCGCTGGTCCTGTTGGTGTCCATGCCCTGGGCCCACCCCTCGATGCCTGGCCAGTCACAGTCAGAGAGGGCAACGGTGACCGGTGACTTTACCACAATGAATGCCACATCCGGCCATAACCACCCTGCAGGCCACTGGCCCCCTGAGCCACAGGAAGTGGCTGAGGGCCCCCTGAGCTCGGCTTCCCCTGCCCACACCCACAGGCTTGAGGAACCCATAAACCAGGGCTTGGAAACCCAGCTTCCAAATAAACAAAGTGTATGCGTGGGTGGGGGGCGGTTTCCTCCAGGGTCAAACCCAGCACCTCTCTCTGTCCAAAGCACTAGAAAAAATCATGGGGCCTCGCAGGCTGGGGACAGTCTGACGCTCAGGGACAGCGTTATCCCTGCAGCGGCATTCAGGAGGGGCACGCAACTCGGGCGCCGAGTCTGGTGTGAACCCTGAGGAGACTTCGGTCTTTCTCTGAAAACTTCCGGGTCTGCCCTTCATAACACCAAAGAACAAGCCACATCAGCCATGGGTCAGCAGACCAGGCCTCTACGTTGGTCAGCAGGGCTGGGCCAACTCTCCTGGTTCTTCTCAGAGGTGACGCCCCTGGTATTGATGGTATCTCTCCAGGGCAGGGCTCTGAGCTGGCCGCCACCCTGGGTTGGCTTCCTGCCCTGCCCAGGCCAGCCTGCATCCACCCTGCCCCATCCTACTCCTCACCGCTGCCACTGTGTTGCAGGGAAGGACATGGAGCCCAACGGCCAGGTGCTACCGAAGGATGAAGGGCCGCCGACTCCAGGCTCCGCTACGAAGGTGCCTCCGGTAAGACAAGGGGTCAGGAACCTGACCCAGGGGACAGCAGCAACCAACTGGAGGGAACCATATTGGGGAGAGCACCTCCAGGTCCCAGACTGGCACTGGGGAGAGGCTGCAAGGGGACAGGAGTGAGCGAACCACCTTAGTGGGAGGCAGGAGGGGAGAGAGAGGTGGGTGGGTGTCAGTGACCTTGGGAAGGACAGACTGGGTGCTTTTCTATTCTGGAGAAACCACCCCAGGGTGCTGTTCCTTCTCTGCACGGTCTCTCTCTTGGGTCACCCCTCTCTAGGATGAAGCCAAGTTCTGGAGAAGTCCACACCCATATTCACACATGCAAACATAGACATTCACGCATGCACCAGCACACATGTGCACCCACACGCCACATGCACGCACAAAAACATACATATTCACATATGCACCAGCACACGATGCACACATGAACACACTCACATGTGCACACATGCAGACACACACCCGCTTGTACACATAAGAACAATCGGGGACCGCTATAACAGTCGGAGCTTGAGAAAGAATACAGATGCTGAGATATTGTTGGTGTTGAGCACCGGCGAGTCCCTTCTGACTCACAGGGACCCCATGTGACAGAGCAGACCTGCCCATAGAGTTTCCTAGGCTGTCATCTTTAGGACAGCAGTCAGCCAAACCTTTCTACCATGGAGGCTCTAAGTGTTTTTGAGGTACCATCATTTGGTTAGTGGAGTACTTAATGTGCCATATAGGCAGGCAGGCAGACAGACAGATATAAAACTCACACAACACAAAATGAACCATTTGACAGTGAACAGATCATTGGCGTTTAATGCATTCACCGTGTCTACACAACCAGCCCCTCCATTTAGTTCTGAATCACTCTCATCAGCCCCAAAAGGGGTCCCCATGCCCATTAGCATCCCCCCTCCCCACAGTCCACAGCAACGGTCTAAGGACTTGCCTATTTTGAATATTTCGTATTGGTGGGATCGTACACTCTTTGTTCCCCCGTGTCTGGCTCCTTCCCCTCCACACGCTGTGTTCAAGGCCCACCCACGCGGTTCCCGGTCTCAGAGCTTCCTGTCTTCTTGTGGCTGAGGAGGGACCACATTGTGTTCATCTATCACCTGTGCATGGACCCTTGGGTTGTCTCCACCTCTGGGATCTTGTGAAAGTGATAACAGCAACCACTGGGTGTGCATGTGTCGATTTGATTCTCTGCTTTCAAGTCTCTTGGTTGTTTACCAAGGACTGGGAATATTGTACCTAGAGCTACTGTAGCAAATACCTCACTGGATGGTTCTAGCACCCAGAAATTGATTCCCTCACAGTTTAGGAGGCTAGACATCCGGATTCAGGGTACCAGCTCTAGGGAAAGACATTCTCTGTTGGTTGGCTCTTGGGGAAGGTCCTCGTCTCTTTTCAGCATCCGTAGGCCTGGCGTTCTTGGAGAACTCCGTGTGTGTTGGCATTTGTCTTCCCCCGGACCTAGGAAGTTCTCAGCACAGGGACGCTGGGTCCAAAGGACACGTTCCATGCTCCGCTCTTCTTTCTTAGTGCTGGTAGGCCCCTCCCTCTCTGCTCACTTGTCTCTCCTGGGTCTCCTGTGAAATAAAAGATGATGACGGTCTCGCCCCAGGGGAACGCCCCTTACATGGGATCAGGCAGTGACCTTACAGCTGATTGGTTTGTCAAAGCAGACCACATCCTGGGGAATAATCACTTCATTACATAACTGCCTAACCACTGTCGTGTTGTTATTAAGTGCCATCGAGTCGGTTCTGCTTCCAAAGGAGCAGCTGGTGGGTTTGAACTGCCGACCTTATGGTTCACAGTCCAGTGCTGTTCCCCAGCACCACAGCAGAAGTTTGACATATATATAGGGGGATACTATTAAATCCATGACACTGGGTTTTAGAGTTTTTCTGGAACCCTGCTGACACAGTGGCTGCGCACGCAACTGCTATTGGAAAGATCAGAGGTTAGAACCCACCAGCCGATCCACGTGGGGAAAAGAAGTGGCCATCGAGTCCTGTAAAGATGGACAGACGCTGTGTGGACAGTTCTACTTTTTCCTACAGGGTCTCTATGAGTCAAATCAACTCAGCCCCCGTGGGTTTCGTTTTTGGTTTGGTCATCATTCTTTGTTTACCTTTATAAGAGGCATTATGTTAATTCTCTTGGGCTGCTGTAACCAGGAGCACCACATGGGGATGGCTTTGAGAAACAGAAATTTAGTGTCTCACAGTTCAGGAGGTGAGACGTCTGAATTCGACACTTAACAACAACAAACATCATTATGGTAGTCTCTGCTTTCAGCCAAGAACCACCTGACTTGTTATATGTCTGTCCTCTTCTGAATTTCTGGCAATTCTTTGTCCATGTACTGTTGCCACCGTTGTAAAATTATCTTCAGCAAAATTGTACTTGCATGTGATATTAGCGAGATTGTCCAATCATTTCCTCATTCCGTTGGGTCCCCTCTCTTTGGAATGGGCACAAATATGGGTCTTTTCTAATCAGTTAGCCACTTAACACTGAGTGCCTCCAGTGATACATCAGTTTATTGAAAGATTTCAATTTGTATTCCATTGTTTCCTAGAGTCTTGTTTTCCACCCAAACACAAGAGAGTCTGGAAGTCTGAATTCAGAGAGCCTGCTCTGGGGAAGGGCCTTGTCTCCCATCAGCATGTGTAGACCCACACTCCTTGGAGGTCTCCGAGTGTCTCAGCATCAATCTTCCCCCGGATCTAGGAGCTTCACAGCTCAGGGACCCGGGTCCAAAGGACTCACACTCCACTCCTGGCTCCTCTCTCTTTCTTGGGGGCTGTAAGTCCCTCTGAGCAATGCTTGCCTGTGTAGTCTCTTTCACGTCTGAGAAGAGATGGACTCAAGATACGCCCTAACCCTGTAGATTGCATCTGGCCTCATGAGCATCACAGAAGTGAGGATTTACAGCGCAGGAGAATCACATCGGATCGGAGCTGATCACATCAGCTGATCACATCACATGGTGGGAGGGTGCTTAACATTTTATTAGATCTCACCGTGCCTCTTAACTGCCAAATCATGGACCCAGAACCTTAACTGTCACAGGAACTGCTAAACTTTCCCTCAGTTTTCGTTTGGCCCGCAGTGCAGGAGGGTTCTGATTGCTTCATCTCCTCATCACCTCTTCTTTGTTCCAATTGTTTTGATCAGCCTTCCTCATGGGTGTGAGGTGGCATTTTCCTTATGGTTTTGATCTGCATTTCCCTAATGACAAGTGAGCATCGTGTGCTGGGTTTGTTGGCCACTTGTATATCTTCTTAGGAGAAAAGTTTATTGGCATCATCTGTCGGTGGGTTGTCCGTCCATCTTTCTGTTCATGAAATGAGTTCTTTACACAATCTGGGTATTTATCGGATATGTGATTTGCAAGTATGTTTCCCATTTAGTGCGTAAATTATATTATTAAAAATTAAGTTGTATTTTAAAGGAACTTCCCCAGGTTATAGGAGGTCAGACTGAAGCTGGCCATTCTGAGCAGCCTTTCTAATTTTCTAGGTGCTCGTCACTAGAGCAGCACAGAGGTGAGGGGGAAGTCCAGGCGTCCTGAAGGTTTCCTCCGTAGGAAAGACACCAGCGGCCCTCCTTGCCTTGCTGGGCAGGAATGTGACCAGGCCATGGGGCAGACTGGTATCAGGCAGAGATGCTCTGCCCACCATGCCTCCGGGTCCCCGCCCCCCCAATTTCAACCAGCCTCGTTCTTCATTGCCTAAAGCAAGTCTGGCTTTGGTCAAGCACATGCGGTGAATGACTGGACAGTGAGGCCTTGGCAAAAGGCTCATTCCTTCATTCATTTACTTACTCCTGATTCAAAATGCTTATCAGGTCCCTGCCTACCAGATAGCTGGCCCCAGGGGACAGGATCTTGAGGCCGGAAGCAGGTGACCACATAAAACGGCTCCGTGGTTGTCATTGTAAAAGGTCTGGACAGGTCCAGGGAGGTGCGTTCAGCAGGGCGCAATGCAGTGGGATGCTTGGAGGGGTCCTGCTCTGTGAAAGCAGCTCCATGGAGACCAGGGAAGAGGCGGGACCACCAAAGGGAAGAGCACTCCAGGCTGAAGGAACAGCTTTATACAAAGTGGGCTGCTAGCATGGCTCCTGATCACTTGTGCCTGGGGCCTGGGTCACGGGACTTGCTCAAGGAAGGGAACCTGGGGTGTCTTGTCCATCATCCTGTGCCCCAGAGCCCTGTCCCCCATAGGTCAGCAGCACATTGTCGTCCACGTCTGGTACGTCTCAATATCCCAGCTTCAGGCTCAGGACTTCCCTTCCCTAGCCCTCACCTGGAGGACCCCAGTTAGCTTACTCTGTCCAGATCAGCGATGGCTAGGGTAGGTCCCTGCCACAATCAATTCTGCCCCTGTAGGCACAGCCGAAAGCTCTCATGGCAGAAAGATAGGCGGTTTCAGTTCACCCAGAGGTGCTTCAGAAGAAACTCCTGGCAATCAGCTTCCAAGAAAGCAGCCGCTGACAATGGCGCGTCATTCTACTCGGGCACCCATGGGAGCGCCGGCGCCCTGGATTTCTGTGTTTTGTGAGAGCAGCCACAGTGGACGAGTGGACAGCTGGGCTCCAGTATTGCTTTGCTTGTGACGTGGACTTTGGGATTTCATCTCATGCTCACGTGCAACCGAGTCTTGCTCTTACTTTTATTCTCTTTGCGACCATTTACAAATATAAACGCCGTCTTAGCGCAGGCCACCTGGTGGGATTGACTCTGGGACGTGGTCTCCAGCCTGTGTCCTGTCTCTGCCCCCCCACTCTCACTGTCTCTAAAAAGACCATGGTGGTTACCAAGCTCAGGTCTCCTCAGGCCTGAGACAGGGTGGCTCTGAGGGGACCAGAGCTGGGATCCCCAGCCGTGCAATCCCCCCTCCTTGCTCAGACTGGGCTCCTGGCTGAGCCACAGACCCCCCACACCCCACCCTGGCACAGTGTGGAGAAGCAAGGCAGGGAAGTGGATGCTACTGTTTGGGGTGGTCTCAGAATTGTCTCAGACCCCTCTACAAATGCACCCCCTCACCCACCTTTGATCTCGGGCCTCCTGGGCACCTGTCCCCCTACTGGTCACCCTCCCCTTCCTCAGAATTCAGTCCTGCCCCCTGATGATTCCTTTGTCTCTTTGTGCCCGAGCCCCCACCACCCCTATGTCTGCAGCCCCCCAGATCCAGGGGCAGACAGATCCCCATCTCCTGCTCCCTGCACAGAGCACAGGTATTGGGCCTGGGGGACCACCCCACCTCTCCATCTCTGCCCCCCACCCTGGGAAGAGGTGACTAGCCTAGCTGGGGGTTCAGACAGGAAGGGGAGGGCCGACACCAATGCCCCCACTCTCTTGCAGGCAGACTACAGGCTGTGCAATGGGTCTGACAAGGAATCTGTGTCCCCAACTGCCAAGGTCACCAAGAAGGAGGTTCTCAAGGTGCGGATGCCCGGGGAGGGAGCATCTGGACCAGAGACTCCTCTGCCCTGGGGAGGGGCACCACCCTCCTCTCCCTGGGCAGGCTGGGGCTTCTCTTCCTGAGGGCGGCGGGGTCCCCCAGAAGCCCCTCCCTGACCCCCGTGCCCGGGCAGGCGCAGAAGGAGAACTACCGGCAGGAGAAGAAGCGTGCCACCAGACAGCTGTTCAGTGCGCTGACCGACCCCAGCGTGGTGATCATGGCGGACAGCCTGAAGGTGGGTGGGGGGCCTTCCACACTGTATCCCCAACACTGTGCTGATGGCCCGAGTGTCTGTCACTGCATTCCACCCCTCCTGCTGCACCCCCGTTCAGTGGAGTACCCCCATCCAGTGTCCATGGGGCCCTGGGAAGGACACAGAGGAGAAGCGGCCCGAGTCCAGCCTCAGGGGAAAGGACCAGGGTGGGGTTAGGAAGCCTATCCAGACTCAATTGACTCCCTGTCCAGTGGGGGTGAGACTGCCATGGAGAGAGGAGATCAAGTGCACCAGGAGGCCTTGTAAAATGCAGGTCCGTGCGCCTGTGCAAATCAGTCTCTGCCTACGACCCCAAGTGAGCCCCAAGCTCTGCCATACATTCTGGAGGGCACCCAACCCACTCAGTTCTGGCCAGGGTGCTGCAGGCAAGAGACATCACCCCAAAGGAGGGTGCAAGGGGACAGAAAGAAGGGAAGGGCAGGCTCACACCCCTCTCTACTCTGCCCCTGACGCATTCCTCCCTGCTGCCCTAGAGGAGATACCTGTGCCTTCTAGGGACTGTCCTTTCTTGTCTATTTCAGTTACTAGCAGCTGCCAGCAACCTTGGCATTCCCGGGCTTGTGGCTTTGTCTGCCTCCCCTGCCCCATGTCTGTCTGTGTCTGACCCACTCCTTTAAGGGTTCAGAAGACATTAGGGTTAGGATCCACCTGCCTGATCCTATGTTCCATCATGTTCATCAGAACGGATTGGAGCAGGACTTGAACACACCTTTTGGGGGTCCCAGTTCCTTCTGTAGCAGCCCCCACTCCCTAAGCATGCCCCCTGCCCTGGGCCTAGCTGCCGTGAGCACTGACGTGGTCCACCCGCAGATCCGAGGGACCCTGAAGAGCTGGACAAAGTTGTGGTGCGTGTTGAAGCCGGGGGTCCTGCTCATCTACAAGATGCCCGCGGTGGGTCAATGGGTGGGCACCGTGCTTCTGCATTGTTGCCAGCTCATCGAGAGACCATCCAAGAAGGATGGCTTCTGCTTCAAGCTCTTCCACCCGCTGGACCAGTCTGTGTGGGCCGTGAAGGTGAGCGAGGCCAGGACACAGGGACAGGGGTGGAGGCTGTGAAGGTGGGTGGGGTGGTATGTGGATGGGGGATACAGGTCCGAGGGATCCGTCCATGTGGATCGTGAAGCTGAGCAGGACATGGCCTGGGAGGCATGGGCTGGTGCAGGTTGGGTCAAGGCAGGTGGGGGGGTGGGATCAAGCCCTGGACAGAAGGAAGCCTGGACAGAGAAAGGGCCCTAGATAGAAGTCAGAAAGTGCCCGGGGTACAACGGGGCTGTCGGTCTGCCAGTCCTGCTTCCAAGGTGGGCACATCACCACCCAGCAGTGAGGCCGGGCACATTCTTTCATACCCTGTGGACCTCGAGGTTCAGCCAGGACCAGATGTGGTCAGAGGTCCTGCAGGTGGACCCTCGCGAGCAGGTGACCCAACTGGAGATAAGGCCACACGGCTCCTCCCCCAGCACCAAGGGAGGAGGGGGAGACCGGGCTGTAGGGGGCAGGCTCTGACGGGTCCAGCCCAGGCCACACCCTCATAGCTGGGGCTGCCCATCAGGGTGTGGGTGCCGGATAAAGTTGAGAACCCCCAGTTCAATCTGGGTTTCAGAGAGCTGCGTGATTTCTCTTACAGTAAGCACATCCTCATCTGTCAGTTTGTCGTACTGTGGTGGTTTATGAGTTGCTGTGATTCTGGAAGCCATGCCATGGGTATTTTAAATACCATCAGGGTCACCCATGGTGGGCAGGTTTCAGATGAGCTTCCAGACGAAGACAGACTAGGAAGACGGAGTGATGAACTGCTTCCGAATATTTAGTCACTGAAAACCTTATGAAGAGCAGAGAAACACTGTTGGATATGGTGCTGGAAAATGAGCCCCTCAGGTTGGAAGGCACTCAAAATGTGACTGGGGAAGAGCTGCCGCCTCACAGTAGAGTTGACCGTGATGACGCAAATGGAGTAAAGCCTGTGGGAGTAAAGCCCACAGGACCTTCATTTGCTGATGGGGCACAACTCAAAATGAAGAGAAACAATCGTCAACATCCACTGACAATTGGAACATGGAATGTATGACGCATGAAACAGGACTCAATGACAGTAATCAATGATCAGTGTTACAGACGACACACAGGAAGTACGTTTACTAAAACAATGATGTGTGATTACTCTGAAACTCCAGTGGAACTGATCCTCCTCGATTCACATCCACTCTGACCACCATGTGCAGGGATTTAGGGCAGGAGAGGGAAGGACAGAGCCCTCAGCGGAGGCGGGCAGTGCCTCCCACCTTCCTCACCACCTGTGTGTCTGTGTGCCCCTTGTCCAGGTCCCTGAGGGTGGGTGTCCGTGGCTGCCTGAGTGGGGGCCCTGTGTGGCGGGGTGCTCACTGACACTCATCTTTGCCTCTCTAGGGTCCCAAAGGTGAGAGCGTGGGTTCCATCACGCAGCCCCTCCCTAGCAGCTACCTGATCTTCAGGGCCGCCTCCGAGTCTGATGGTAAGTCCTGCCTGAACCCCTGGATTGGGGTCCCCACAGGGTCACAGACCTGGGTGCTCGATTTGAGGGGAACAGAGAGCTGGGTTCTTCCACCACCTCCCACGAAGTTGACAAGCAGAGCTTGGGCAAACAGGCCTGTCACTGTTCTCCTCCCAGCCTGCCAAGTCTCAGTTTCCCCATGAGTGAAGTGTGAATAACTGGGGTGCACCTGCCTCCCCAGGAGTATAGGGATCCCTGGCGGCACAGTGAGGTCGTGCTCCAATGCTAACAGAAAGGTCCACGGTTTGAACCCAGCAGCCGCTCCTTGGGAGAAAGCTGTGGCAATGTGTCCCTGTAAACATACCTAAGTAAACCCTCAGAGGCAATTTTACCCTACCTTACAGGGAGTCCTGGTGTGGAGCTGTGGGCTAATGCGTCAGACTGCAAAGTCGTTTGCACTGCAAGGTCAGTGGTTCAAGCTCACCAGCTGCTCCTTGGAAACCCTATACAGGGTCGCTATGGGTCAGAATCGACTCAACGGCACTTAACAACAACAACAACAGGGTCACTGTGAGTCAGAACCAACCCAATGGAATTGGTGTTTATCATGAAAATTCAGTAACCTTCTATGGACCAATCAGATCCGTGGGTGGCCTCAGGTAGTTTGCATTCAGCTGGTAACCTGAAGGTTAGCTGTTTGAACTCACCCAGCTGAATCACAGCAGAAAGCCCTGATGATCCGCTTCCAAAAAGATTATTTTTGTTATTAAGTGCCGTTGAGTCAGTTCCAACTCATAGCCACCCTGTATAGGGTTTCCAAGGAGCAGTTGGTGGGTTTGAACTGTCCAATTTGTGACTCACAGTGCATTGCTAATCCTACAATCCCACCAGGAGTCCTCTGAAAAGATTAGTCAGGAAAACCCCAAGTGGTAGTTCCACTCTGGACCACATGGGGTCACCGTTGAGTTGGAGTGCTATTTGGTTTAACGCTACCAAGTCCAGCCACCCAGCCTCCTCCCAGGCACCACTGTTACCCACATTTGACATGAGGAAAATGAGGCATGGGCAAACTGCCAACAAGAAAGTGCTAGAGCCTGGGTATAAACCCAGAGTTCTGGTTGTTCTATACACAGTTTCAGGTCTGTAGCTGCAACAATGTTACTTCAGTTGTATCCCTGCCCCTGTAACCGCCTCATCTTTCCACACAGAGCCCTCCAGTGGCCGCTCTGAGTAGATGCGGTTACTCACTTTCTCTCAGAGCTGGGGCATCACCCACCTGCCAGTGTTCCCAAGGGCAGGACCTCACTTCTACCTTGATCGCTGGGGCCGTGACCTCTCCCACTTGGAGAGAGGAGTCCCCTCCTGTCGGCCGTGCCCCACCTCATACCCCCTTTAGCAGCTGCTCAGAGACCCCTCAATTTTACCATCATTTCCCCAGGCCGCCTCTCATTCCCTCTAGACCTTGAGGTTCCCCTCCATGTAGACCCTCAGGGTCACCCATCTGGAGATCAAGGCCACACACAGCTCCTCTCCCAGCATCATAGAGGAGGGGAACAGGACTTGAGAGAACAGACCTGGATGAGAGTGGGGCCGAGTCTCCCTCTGCTCCAGCCCAGACTAAACCCTCAGCTGGGCTGCCCATCCTGGGACCCATCAGGCTATGGATGCCGGGTAAAGTTAAGAAGCCCAGTTCAAGCCTGGATTTCAGGCCCCGTGGACCTGAGTTGGACAGGGCACCCATGCGTCACAGACCCCACAGTCTGGGGATGGAAATGAGGAGAGAGACATCTGACAAGATAGGCTGGGCTGAACAATCAGCATCCACAGCGCCTTTGTGTATCAGAGTGGGCTTCCTGGAGAAGGTGGCATGGTCTTGGGGTGGGCTTCAGAGGATGTGCAGTATTCAGCATGGTTAGTCCTCCTTGTGACAACCTCGAAACACATGTCAGCACCCCAGGCCCACTCATCGCTGCAGCTGTAGCCCTTCCATCCTGTGTCCAGAGATGTTCTGAGGGCTGGCAACTTTGGCTCCAAGTCCAGCTTCCGGTAATGACCAGGACAGGTCCAGATGTTCCCAGAGAGGACAGGAGCTGCCCTAGGGGCCCTTCTGAACTCTGGGCCCCAGCACATCTCGTAAGGAGCAGGACTTTGGGTATAAATTTAAGCCAAGAGTCATCCTGGTATGGCACTGTGGGATAATGCCCTGGTTTGATTATGTAGTTTGAACTGCAACGTTGGCGGTTGAGATTCACCAGCTGCTCCTCAGAAACCCTATGTAGGGTCGCTATGAGTTGGAACCTGCTTGACAGCACTTAACAACAACAACAAGATGTCGAGGTTCAACCCATGCCAATACTGAATGATTGTTTATAATCCAAATCAGAATAAAATACTTTTACAAGTGGGGCTAACCTCTGGTGGGATACATGATCCTGCAGTGGTTGCCACCACTGGTCCGGCAGTACTGGTCTGACCCCCGGCCACTCCTGCCAGGGAAGCAGCAGGCTCAGGGGCTCTGCCAATGACCACCCTACTAGGTTTCTAGGCAGCCTCTCTTCCTCCAGCAGGGAGCTCTTGGAAAGAAGCAGGCAAGGCTGCCTGTGGCGAGCCCAGTCCCCTCCCCAGCCTGCGCTCTTGGCCCAGGGCCCTAGCACCCTTCGCCCTCCCCCATTCCACATTCAGGAAGCCCTGAGGAGGCGCTGCCTGGCTTGCTGTGTTCTGGCCCCTTCTAAAGTGTCCTGAGCATCCTCTGAGGCCCCTTCTGCAATGGTCTCTCTCTCTCTCTGTCTCTCTCTCTCTCACACATACACACAGGTCCACTCCTTAGTTGGGGCCGGTGGTGGGAGGGAACAGGAGGAAGACTCCCTGCTGTGGTTGCGCCTTGTGTCGGGAAGGGGGGGGAACTCACCTGGCTCTCCTCACCCACCCACCCCCAGGCCGCTGCTGGCTAGACGCCCTGGAGCTAGCTCTGCGATGTTCCAGCCTTCTTCGTCTCAGCACCTGCAAGCCGGGCTGTGATGGAGAGCCCGGGTCTTCACCTGACACGTCCCGCTCTGCACACTATAGGCTGCCCGGTCCAGCCGATGTCCACCCTGACCAGGACCTGTCCCAGTGAGTGGGCTTGGTTGCCAATCCTTCTATGTGGGGAGGGGGAGCTCACACCTGTGCCCAAACCTTCTCCCCGGGAGGCGGGGCACCAGCTCTGTCCACCCCCAAGGGCACCTATAGGCACTGAGGGCTCTGCCTCGATCCTCCATCAACAAAATGGGTTAACAACTCAGGGATGAGTGTGAGGGAGCACAGGTAGGCATGCATGGGTGGGTGTGCCCACAGAGAGGGGGTCCAGGTGGACATGCAGGAGGCAGGTATGCCCACAGAGAGGGGGTCCAGGTGGGCACTGGGTGGGTGTGCCCGACCTCACCTGGGGTCAAGGTCAGATCCCTCCATCAGCCTTCTGTCTGTCCTCCAGACTGAACGGGTCTTCACTGGCCAACCACCTGGAGAATGACGCATTGTCTGACAAGTCAGAGAAGGAGAATGCTGAGGAATCGGATACCGAGACCCAGGACCACAGCCGGAAGACCACCGAGAGCGGCAGTGACCAATCAGAGCCTCAGAGCAGCCCGGCACCAAGGGGGACCACGTATGAGGAGCAGGCCCCCGAGGAGCTGGGGGAGGTAAGGGTCAGACATGCCCATCCTCTGAGCAGAGAGGGTGGGGGCCAGGTTGTGTTGGGGTCTGCAGCACCCCAGGATCGGAGCTCTGGTCACCCACTTTCTGCTGCAGTACCAAAGCTGTATCTTCATGTGTGAACCCTAACCCTGTCTGGTCCAGTGGGTGGATGAGGGATCCATACCAGGATGGGAGAGCATGGGACTCAGGCAGGATCCTGGTCCCATTTGGGGGAAGATGGCTCGCTTTCATACAGGGTGGGATCCACAAATCTGCTGAGCACCTGTGTGATACCTGACCCAAGGAGGCAGACATGGTCCCTGTCCTCCCAGGGAATCAGACCACAGACAGACTCTCAGGAAGATGTCAGGAGAGGAGGGGAGACCCAGGACGAGGTCATGGGGAGGCAGGGGTGATTTTGGCTGTGATCGCAGAGACCTCTGTAGAGGAGACTCTAGACCTTAATGGCAAGCAGGACAGGGGACCCAGGGAGGAACAGCTAGTGCGCAAGTCCAGGGCAGAAAGCAAATGGTGGCTCTGTGAACAGCCGGGTATATTAGCATGCGAGGACAGTACACACAGGTACCTCGGGGGTTCGGTGAGGCGGATTAAAAAGGACCCTGGGGATTTGGAGAGAGTCCAGGAAGCGGACTTTACTTGGTGATCCAGGACTAAGGGTTGGCATCACACCATCATCCAGAATGACCGGGGCAGCGAGCACTGAGGTGGCCGGGAGATGGACGCTGCGTGATGCTTGTGGTGTGAGACCAGTGTTCTTGTTTTGTGGTCATGGAGGGCTTGTCATGGGTCCCAGTGTGGTCAAGGTGGGGAGGGTCTGACGCTGATGCCCTGACAAATCGACTGTGTTCAGTTCTCCCTGGGCAGGGCCCCTCTCACCTGTCCACCAAATTACCACCTATCATACAGAGGGACAGTTTGATGGCCAGGGAGCAGTGGGGGCAGCTCCTCTTGGGACTCAGAGAAGGGAGGGGTCTTCCCAGACCAAGGGAATGCCAGGTCCACCTGGTGAGGGACAGGGGTCTGTGATCAGGGCCGGGACATGGGTGCCCTGTAGGGCAGGTGTAACACAAGTGAGACAGGGCAGAAGGTGTGCCCAGTAGTTAACAGAAGGGCACTTAGACACCCCTCCGCCCCCTCCCCAAGCCGGACATTGTCCTCCGCTGCAGCTGGGCGAGTCTGCGCAGGTGGGGGGCTGGAGGTGGTGGGGGGGTGGCGGGGTACAGGGCCCCCTTCCTCGTCCTAACCTTGGCCCCATGTGACCCTCCGCCACAGCTGGGTGAGTCTGAGCAGGTGGAGACGGTGTCAGAGGAGAAGAGGGGTCTGATGTGGGTCTTGCTGCGGCAGCTGCGTCCGGGCATGGACCTGTCCCGGGTCGTGCTGCCCACATTCGTGCTGGAACCCCGCTCCTTCCTCAACAAATTGTCTGACTACTACTACCATGCTGACCTGCTGTCCAGGTGGGCCTGGGGAAGAGGGTGCCCCCAGAGCCCCCAGCTCCTGCCTACCCCGCCCAGGCTCCCCAGGGCCCGGCCTGAACTTGGCCATTGTCCACAGCCCAGGTGGAACTGGTGGGAGGAGGGTGTGACCGGGCCAGGATGAGGCCTTCCTGTCCCTGTCCAGTCAGGTCATCACAGAGGTGGGGGCAGTGGAGGGGTAGTGGACCCATCTCACAAGTGACGTTCCCACTCCAAGGTTGCCATTGGCAAGGGCCCAGTGTGTAGCAGGATGGGTGGGGCGGGGTGGGCAGCTGGGACCTGCCCTGGACTCAGGGGTTCTCTGGCTCTCAGGGCTGCGCTGGAGGAGAACGCCTACGGCCGCATCAAGCAGGTGCTGCGCTGGTACCTGTCGGGCTTTTACAAGAAGCCCAAGGTGAGGAGCCCACCGCTCAACATCAGCATGGCCTAGAAGGTCATCGCCATGGTGACCCAGGTTCTCAGAGATGGGGGCAGGACCCTGACGTCACACAGCAGGCCAGACTCTGAGGGTGCCCTGCCCAGGAGAGGAGCCACAGTGACTGAGATCCCCGAGGTGGCTTGGGGATTCATGGGTGCATGGCTGCTTGTCCAGTGGTGGAACCCCGTCTTAGAACCTCAATGTGGCTGCTTTGGGGGCTGCAGCTCTGACCCTCCCCTGGCCACCATGGGGCTCTGTGGTTCCAGGGGCCGAGAGTTCAGGTCCCACTTCTTCACTGTACGGGTGGGGAAGCTCAGGCTTCAGGGGGCAGAGGGGTGACCCAAAGTCACTCAGCAACTAGGAGTTACACCGGGACCTCAGCACCTGCAGCTGGGTTAGACCAGGGCAGCTCAGGTGTGCATAGGACTGGGAGATTGTCTCACTTAGGGTGCCCCTGCAGATGCTAAGCCCAGATCCCGGCAGTCTCTGACCCCATGGTACACACATACACACCACATGTGCACTGTACACACAACACACAAATACACCACATATACACTGTGTGCACACACAGTACACAAATACACCACACACTCACCACATATACACTGTGTGCACACACAGCACACAAATACACCACACACTCACCATGTATACACTGTGTGCACACACAACACACAAATACATCACACACTTACCACATATACACTGTGTGCA